ACGATCATAAAAATTCTTTCAAAAACTTCTTCAAGATACAGTCAGATGTGCTCCAAAACGGATCCAATGGCAGTCAAAACATAACCTTTGTTTAAATGTAGGTTTAAAAATAAAGCAATTTTCACTAAACTTTTAAGTACTGTTGTGGACTTTCCACCCACTGCCCTTGGAAATGTTTGAACTGTATTTTAGAGTTAATATTGCTCAAACAACAAATTGTGACGCTTCCAAGGACGCCGAAATATAAATTAGATTTACGAATAATTTCTTTCATTGAAAACACGGCAACTTTTTCAAGCAGATTCTGTGTATCTTTACCAGAGCATCAAAACCATTGTGTAAAACTCCTTCTAGATTTCTATTCAATGAATATTACATAAAGGATTTGGTTATTTCACATTGTCATAATAAATTCCAGCCGGTTTGGATAATCCCCTAAGCTAAGAAAATTCCATCAATCAAAAGGAACATTCCTTCTCATCATCTATCAAAATAAGTGCCATACAGATCAAAGAAATTCCTCCAAAAGTTTGATTTACCAAGCGATGGTGTCAGCATAAGTATCGATCTAGTCCGGATATAAAACAATTAGCGTTAAATGATTAGACCTTCCTTAAGAATCAACCTTTGTGTTTTTGACTCAGTTGCTACACAGCTGTAATTTCTGTTCAAATGAAAGCTAAGCAGTGTTGAAGACTGTACGGGCAATCCGGCCATATTGTGGACTCATATTTTGGTTGTTGAAGGTACACAGAAACCGTGAGACTGCTCTGGAACTTGTGACAAACACGCAAACATGAACTTAGAACAACAATGTACCAACTACTGGTATCCTACAGTGGGTAAATTTCTGGAGGGACACATTGACCAAAGTTACCACCTGAAAGACAATATCCAGACATTCAATGTGTTGGCACAAATATATAATATAAAAAAATGTAGACTGTTAACAAGACAATGCGCGAAACTTGCAAGTCACTGCAAGACTCTGCTATGTCAGCATTACATTTTCATATTTGACCTACGTACCAATGTACCCTGCACAAAACCTTGAACCACCTGTATGATTCAGGTATGTTTAATGTTAATTCGCGTTAACAAGAGGAAAATTACACTGTCTACTAAGCAAGACAACATTTGCTATTCAACATCCTGTCTTTTCAACAAGTGTTATCCAATTGAAAAAAACAACAACATCTGTGTACTAAACTTGACTAAGGGAATTACTTACATGTAAGCAATCAGATTCTAAGTAGGTAAACTTAGATTAGAAACAAGTGCACAAGCGAGCTGACATTGTGTGCCATTGACATTTTGTGTAAATTCCTTCAATTTTGAACTTGAAGAGAGCATGGAACAGTATAACAACAAATGAAGTAATGATCAGAAGCTGATTTTCTTTTTATGCCTAACACTAAGGCCACACCATTTTAATTTCTTGGTTAACGGATTTGCCTGCTTCATTTTTATCTGATTTGCAAAAAAAAAAAAAAAAAAAATTAGAATGAACTGCAAAATGCTCATATTTTGCCCTGAACAGTTGAAAACAGTCCTTTTCATCCTAGTTGTTATAGTTAGTCAATCTTTCAATACAGTGGTATCATTAAAAGTTCAAAATTCATTGTTAAATTTTGAACCAGCCTGGTGTGTTGACTTCATGGCTCCTATCGTACCATTTTGGGCCATAATAGGATGCCTAGGCCTGTTTTTATTTTATTTTTTTTTGCCCGCCCACTCCATTATTTTTCTAGAAAAGTCCGTTAACCAAGAAATTAAATTGGTGTGGCCTAACACTTACTATTTATAATACATGTATTATGTTATTTCCCCTTGATTTTGTAGTTTTGTGGCCAGGCTCAATGTTAAGATACCTTCAAATACAAATCTAATTTCAGAGTTGGACTGGCTGATGAAATCTCTATCAACAGGCCTTACCAAGACTTGCCACACTTGACAGATGGGGTCTATGAATAACAACACTTAAAACACAATTAAGTCCACACGTCTGCCCTTAATGCTTTGAAGCTAAAGCGTCTTAAAGAACGAAAATGACCATGTGGCCAAACAACCTGTCACTCCCTTCATTAATTAATCTTTTCAACGAGTTAAAAAGATCAGTTCATCAAAGGAATGATTATGTAAAATACAAAGTTCTCTTGATGTTACGGCTGATGGTATTTGTTCAAGTTGACACTTGCTGTCTCATGATATTTGCTAGGTACACTGAGGAAGTCTAGTGTAGAATGCTTCATCACGTAAGCTGAGTTTGTACAAGTTAGCGTGGGTACGTACATGTACGTGCCTACATGCACGTATGCATTAACCTGTGCTATATTTAACAGGGCTTGTTCACTCTCTTGTAGCATTACCTGTTCTATATTTACCAGGTATAATTATAAGAGTGTCTGCAACCTTGGTATGCGAATACTCAGGCATATACAAGTAGCTCTTTACTAGTCTTTGGCCTAGGAAAAAATGTTGTGTTTCCTGTTTCAGTCCTGAAAAAATTAGGGTCAGTAGCTAGGGATTATCTTTTTTTCTTCTTTTTTATTTAGACATCAATATTTACAAAGAGGGGTCTAACTTATACAATAGCATAGTAAAACCTACTTGAGGACACTTTTATTTTCAATGTCAATGTTAGAAAACCAATTGTACAACGTTTGGTCAGGTGTCAGATCATGGAGCTAGAAAAGGTTGATCAGCTCGAAAAATTTATGTCCCTTGCAGGGGTCCACAAAGAAGTCTACGGTTGGCAGGTTTTTCTAGGGTCAGTCGGGAAACAGGAAACACAACATATTTTCCTAGGCCTTAGGATTGTCTTTTGTTTGTCAGATTAACTCCAGAAGAACTATTATTATTATTATTATCATACTAGTATATGCAACCATATCTGGAACATCAGTAGCAAATTTTAGAAAAACTGCAGAAACACCAAAACTGCCAAGTCTAAGAAAAATAGTTGATCCAAATTCAACATCATTACTGGCTGCAATAAAGAACTGGTGGCCTGGATTTTCAAACTATAACATTTCCATGCAAGTTCTTTACGATAAATAATAGATGACTATCATATTCAAAGAAATGGGCATATATTAATTATAATATGATCAGAACTTTGATATATGAAGGAGTCCATATCATCACAGGCAAATATTAAGACAACAATGTCCCCATTCAAGTTCAACAACTGACAGATATTTCATGATAGGCAGTTAACTCTTGACAAAGGCCTGTGTACATGTTTGTGGTCCCGAGGTGCAAGTAGTCATTGTAGCAAGAAGGGGGTAAGACAAATATAGTTATTGTGGACATGGAAAGAATTAATAAACTATTACTACAAATAATCAACTGCAATCAGGGCAGTGTAGCCTGGTAGCCATTCTATTCTAGTTCTGCTACGTACGGTCCTCTGTTTCCCTCAGATTTGTCAGATATTATAAGGCAGCAGCAAGTAAATTTTATGGATGACATCCTCCGCAGACTCCAAATCTAATGCGAGCGGGAGAAAAAAACAAGGCGGGCCAAAAAAACAAGGTTCCTACATTCTCAAATTTTGACTAAATAATTGTACAAATGGTTTTGATTCAGTGATAACATCACAATCATGTACATATACTCAGCCATGTTTCACATATCATTGCATCAAAGTAAAAAACAAAACATTAAAATCAGAGTCTTTTCTTGTCTCCTGGCTTCATATTTATTTGCCACCCACCTTCTGGCATGTCAACAGACATCTTTGCCCACTTTTGGCATGTTGACCACTGTCAGAAGGCAACAAAATTTCTTTTTTCCCCAAAAAAACAGGCAAAAATTAATGCGCGGGCTGATGTCATCCATAAAAATTACTTGCTGTGGCCTAAGGGGATTACACCTGAGCTAGAATTCATATATGGATATATAATAAAATATATACCTGGCTAGGGGCAGCAGGGGTCCAAATACCCCTCAGTGTGAAAGAAAGGTAGTGCTGGTAAAATTGGTGCCAAATAAAATTTTTTACCGGTGTGCACCAGAGTGCAAGCTTTATCAGTTAGTACACTGACTGTACTACCCATTGAAATACCCAATAAACTGAAAAGGTAACAAATCCAGAATCCAGGGAGTTTTTCTTCATTTTTTTTTCATAATCAAACAATAGCGTTAAGCAAATATTGGATACTTTTATTATGTACTGCATGTACTTTTGGTTGAGTACCTATTTTTTTGGGGGGGGGGAGGGGGTGCAACTACTAAGTTTTTTTTTTTTTTGGTGCAAGTAAATTTTGTTTTCATCTGCACCTGTGCAAGTTGACCCCCAAATCTATTTGGACCCCTGGGCAGTCAACAAAACTTACAGATGTTCAAAATAGATAAGTCTAAATGCCCTCTAGGTCAGTGTTCATAAGTTCGGGTATAATATATACATTATTAACACAAGAGTGCCAGTGCGCCCATGGATACCCACACGTGATCTTCTGTACCTTGGTCATCCTCAAGGATTTGAATATACAGTATACTACCAGTAATAAATAATATAGGTCATTGCTGTACAGTTGAACCTTCAACTGGGCACACCTAAGCTTAAGGTACCACACCCACACCAAACTGTACTGTTAATATTAAAATTCCAAACTAACCATGTACACTTGAGAGTCATAACACACGCACATTGACATGGTGACACCCGTAACTGCACTGAAAGTGAAACAATTAATTTTAGTGTTGTAGTGTTCATACAACACTAAAATTAATTGTTAATATGATATGATATATAATGACATTAGCACAGCTTTTGATTATTGTACTGAATACTGAATGCATCTAACTGAGTAGACATTAATCAGACAATCTGCAGTAACTCAAGAGTAATATAAATAAATTTTTTGTTGAAATAAATCTCTTTGTCTTTGAATAGCAAAAAAGTGACACAAACCTGAAAGCTATATTGCTTTATGATCTGTGGCACCATTCGCTCTATCATAGCATATCAGAGGTTGTTTTGTCGTAACTCTCACCTGAAAATTTCTCACCTCTAGATCATGTGCTTCCTCTTGCAACATGTTTCCCTCTTCCTTTTCAACCTCCTCCGATAGTTTGTGCAGCCTCTTTCCCTCGTCCCACCTGTACTCCAGACAGAGCTCCTGCAGTCTTCTCCCTTCCTCTGTCTCAGCTTCCTCGCAGAGTTCTTGAAGTCTTTTCACCAGGGGGCTGAGGTGTAGCTCAGGGTGGCTGCCTCTCGTGCTCGGAGTGGTCTGTCCGGAGGACAGTTCGGACGGTGTGTGACCGCCGGAGAGGGATAGCGTCCTTCGCAGCTGTCCGTCCGGATAGAGGCGGTCTACGGCCGAGAGCGAGTGGTGATGCAGGTGGCCCATCAGGGAGGGGTGGATGTAGCTGCTGTGGCGCCGGCGTAACTTTGGCGCGGCGGTAGGACTAGCAGGGCAGCTCGCAAAGCAGACCGACTTGCGCCTTCTTACCGAAGGAGAACTCATCGGTACGTGGGAAGGCATGGCACTGGATAATTTCTCCTCCACCTCACGACCATTTATGTTGGGTAAACTGGAATGAAGGGGCTGGTCTTTTATTAGGTTGTATGTGGGACCGCGCAGCTCCGAAAATAGAAACGTCTTGCAATTAGCCTTGACGCTGTCTTCATCTTGTATTTGTTCAGCCTCCGGCTCTTTGTCATGGTCTGCGAGTGGTTTTGACAATTCTGGTATATCTTTGGGTTCGGGCTTTGTTTCAGACTTTTGAGTGTTTGCTAGGTCAACAGTTTCTAACTCTGGGGTACTTTGGGCGTCTGTCGTTTTAACGTTATCATCATTTTTAAGCCTTTGAGGCCTGTAACACCCATCCTTTGATGATAAATCAGAGTGCATGTTGTCTAAACACCCCATGCCCATAGCTGTTGTAATGTTGTTTGGGCTGTCAAATATGTCGGCAACTTGTCCTTTGGACTTGTCGAGGGACAAAGTACCATGTGCACGCCTCATACCACGTGATGCGAGGGACCTGTCAAGCACGTCGTCCCTGTCACAAGGTCGTGTTGACCTTGGTAAATCATCTACGCCACTTATCGTATCCTCTGACAACTGTTTACCAACTTCCTCGGGGCCCGTGGTATCAGCGTCATCTGGTTCGGCACTCATGCTCGGTTCCACGACAGCGCACGTGACTTGGCCTTTTCCACTCGCCGTGGCCGTACGCAAATATTTACTCTGGTCAGCGTCAGAACTCTGACTGACATCTTCTTGAAGTTCATTGTCATTTTCCCCTTCCATAAACGGCATACTATTTGATGAAGAACTGTAAGGAGTCAAATCCTGTGCACTACTGCCACTTTGTCCCTCAGTGTCAACTTGCATATTTTCATTCCTTTGACTTTTCAGCTTAACCTGTAGCGTGGAGGTAAAACTCTCTGGAGCTTGGATTGTCCGAGGCCGAGTTCTTGCCCTGTTGGCTCTCTCAGTTTCTGCTTCTATGTGAGAAATGTCTTCCTCTTTCTTTATATTCTCAACTTGTCCTTTGCCTTTTTCACCACCTTGGCCTGCATCTAGCATTTCATAGATGACTGCATTGCTGCGTTCTTGTATCTTCAGCTGGACAAACTTTGTTTCTTCTGAGTCGGCTCCTTTAGTGGTGCCTGCGCTGATCCCACTCGACCACTGTTGTTCCTGCCTGGTTACCACCTCCTTAGCCGTGTTTATTCCACTTACGTGGGAACTTGAGTCTGTTGTTTCCCCATCCAGTTTATCGTCTACGGTGACAGAAAGCTTCATGGGAACATCCGGATCTTCCTCATGATCCATTTTCCAGGTCAAGGTGCAAGTGTTCGCAGTGGAGCTTTCCAACGTTGAACTAGCCTGTTGAACTTCGTTATGATCTGAATTGTCTGTGATCAAGGGAAGAGTTTCCGTTATAATTACATCCACCGCTGGCAGTTCTTTTAATCCAGTGACATTTTTCGTCACAGACTGCAGAGCATCAAAAGTCCTGGTTTCCCCACAGGTAGAGCTAACATCCTGACTTTTGTCTGCCAATTCTGCGGCATTGTGTTCCTTCAATAGCTCGTGTGAACTCTCTTTTATTGAGTTGTCCACGTTTACAATATTACTTGCCAGGGGGTCATCACTAATTGGGCTTAATTGACCGCTACTTTCTCCATTGTCTGCATGAGTGGTAATTAAATTAACCACAGTAATGCCCTCGGGCTGAGCCCCACTTTCTGTACATACTGTCACAACATTTGTTTCCAATTCTTCTGTACCATTCACTACAGCCTCATTGCCTTTTATAGTACTAGAGTCATTCACTGAGTCATTTGATGAACTCTGTGATGAAACAATCCCTGTTTTCCCAACCCTTTGCCTTTCTTTTACAGTTTTACAGTTTCTATTGCCAGAAAGTAGGTCACTTGCGCCCTGCTTGCTCTCTCTGTCTGCCTTTGTGGCTCTTGTTTGTTTTTGAGTCTGTTTCTGTACAGTACCTCTTGTCTCAAGAGCCGACTGTCCCCTGGGTCTTGTTCCTGTAGCAGGAGGTGCTGATCTTCTCCTTGCTTTCTCGTCTGCTTTGGTTCTCAGCACTTGCTTCGTACCGGCCGGTGCCCCGTTCCTAACTTTACGAGTGGAGGACATCTCTTGTTGTTTACCTTTTCCATTGCTCCCCAACACCTGTGTGGGACCTTTTGATAACGCACTTCCCCCTGGTGCAGCAGACTTCTTGACCTTCGACTTTTCTTCGCGTGGCGTTGCGATGTCCCTCGTTACTTTTCTATCCGATGAGGAAGAGTCGGTTGAACCTTCCTTGATTCTTGTTGTAGGTGGAGTGCTTGATACAGAGTTGGACAGATTTGGTCGTTGCGGCTGGGGTAAAAGTGACCTCCTTCCACTGGATGGTGTAACCTTCCTGGTTGTACTGGTAGTTTTGGAGCCACTATCAGTCTGAGGCTGATGTGGGGCTCTGGCAGGGGTTATGCTTCTCCTTTTCGCTGCCCCGAGGCTCTGTCGTTTAGCGTTAGTGACCAGGTTCCTGGCAGCTCGCTGGCTAGCTTTCCGAGTTGCAGCTGGGTCAACCTCTTCAGACGACGTTTTCTTTGTCGCAGATGTTACACCCCTCTCCGGCCTCACAAGGCTTCTCCTTGTTGTTGGGACTTTTAACAAATCCTTTTTAGCTGGCTTTGAGGCTTTTTGGTGCTCTAACACTTTGTTCTCCTTTGTGTCACTAGATGAGGATTCCTCTTCTTTTGCTGGCTTGCTATTGGCGATGATAGCATCTGTTCCATTGGTACCTTCTATTGTGAGGTCAGGCTGTGAGTTGGATTTACTCAAAGGTATATCCACAATATCTTTACTATTTATGACCATTGTTTTAGGTCTTGCTGCCCTTGGCCGCCGCTTAGCATGCGTAGCTGGTTTTTCTGTCTGTGGCTTTGCAGGTGGTTGTATTTGGCTCTGTGTAGGCTTTGTTTTCCCACTTTCCTTTCGAACTTTTGACTCCTGGCTTACTTTCTTCACAGGTTGTCCTGGCTTGGTAGCTTGGCCAATTTTGGGACCCTTACTTATTGATGTGGTCCTTGGCTTGCCATTGGCAAGCGAAGGTTTCAGGGATGGTGCAATGCTCACCTTCTTGGGTGTGCTGTGCTGGCTTGCCGTTGCACTGCCGAGGACCCTCCCACTCTTTACACTCCCATCAGTGGTCCCAGTAGTTGCATTGCCTGAATGTACCAGATTGGCATCCCTTTTAGCAGGTGTGCCTGGAGTGTTTGACTTCTGTGGGGTTGCTGATTGCGATCTCTTCTTCACAGGGGTTGGGATCCCTGTTGGCCTTGCTGAACGTGGTGTAGTGGGTGTACTTACATGTCGCGACCTGACAGCCCTATTGGCCGGAGTGACAGGCCCTTCTTCAGAGGACGCCACTTCTTTTGGTGCTCGTAAAGTGCTCTCTTTCTGGGGGACGACACCTGCACACCTGTTTTGGTCGGAGCTTTCCATCTCTTTGTTTGCCTTGCCATCGAACTTCAACCCTCTCTTTGACTTTGGCGGAGCATTTGTGATATCCTTTGGAACAACTTTCTCCAAAGCTTCTGCGATTACAAAAGATGTTTCTTCGCTATGAGTCTCATTCCCTTCGACGTCAACGTCTGAAGGGATGTGCAGGTGCACGATGGCAGGTCTCTTGCGATCTGTGCCCTTGCTGTGGCTACGAGGCGTAACGCCGAAAATGTTTGCCAGATGACTCCTAGCGAACTTCCGCACCGATGCAGGCGTGCTAAACTTCTCCCGAAAGCTCTTGCTCAGCACACTGCTGTTGTTAAACGTACTGTCATCAAGCGACAGACTCCAAGTTGACTCGTCCAAGCCACTAACATCTACCGATCTCTCTGATTGGTCAACCTTCTTCGGAAACGGTTCGGGTAATGGTGACACATAGCCTAGAACCTTCCTGGCTTTCCCAGATGGCTTTAGGTCCTGATTCGAGTCTATTATGATAGTTGGAGGCTCACTCAAAACAGTTGACTCGCTGACATGTCTGTGCCTAGAAAGTTCGGTATCTTGCTCAGTACTGGTCACTCTTTCTTTCCCTTTTGCCTGTGTTGTAGAATGGAACTTTCTGTTTGGATGGAAGTATAAAAATGCCATCCTCTTTTGTACAGTCAGAGGAAGAATTGGGTACTTCAGGAACCTTCCCCTTCTCATTACTGATTTTATCGACCTTGTTTACATCATGATTCGATACACCGGAAGGGGGTGTGGGATCGTCGACTTTTTCGGATCCTGGGCCGCCCTTTTTGCTTTCTGTCCCGTTTGGCTTTTTAACATGAATATCTAGCTTACCTTTGCGACCAAAGACCAGTTTCTGTAAGCGGGATTTCTTTTCTGAGCGGGATTTGTGCCCCTCCGTGAGCAGTAGCAACTTCTTCGAAAACGGTTGGGGGGTCACGTCCGCGTATCGGTTGCCGGGACCGTTGGCACCTGGTAGTTGCTTGGTCAGATTTTGTCTTCCACTCTTGTTTTCCTCGCCGTTTTCCGTCAGAATTTTCTCCAGCCGTGGACTGGCGGCGATCACTCGGGTTTTGGTGGCGGTAGGAGCCGGCGAGGCCGGATGGCCGGTCTGTTTGCCTGTGAGCAACAGTTAAACGTTTTCAAATTCGACGCCATTACCTCATCATTTTCATAATGTCAAGTAGTCAGCGACAAAATATCCACTTTTCTCTCCTAAATGAGCACACATGTTGCAAGAATTCTAACGAAAAGCTAAATATGTACAGGAATTACACGTTTTTAAACACTACATGTGCAGGCATAACGAGAAAACGGCCAAAATACCAAAACAATACGAACCAGCTGATGCGGCCGCCGCCATATTTATTTCTACAAACGACCAAGTTGCCTCATGAATATTCATGAGGTACCGGTAAAGGTAAAGTGGGCGGGGCTGTCTGGCGGTCGCTCTTTGATGTGACTACCTGTGAGATTGACTGATTATTTCAAATTTGATTTGCATATGGCCTCCTTGCACAGAATTATTTATCGCGTTTTTCTTTAGCTTGAACACGAATTCAGGTGTTTTAATTTATAAGTTATAAGTTTAATAATAAACATAATATAAGTTTCAAGCTTGGAGTTCGTCTAGTTGAGGCTACGAGCCCGTAACGTTAAGAAAACGAGCGAACACATACACAAAATGAGCCAGGCTTTTCTTAGAGATTACTAGTATTATAAGGTTAACAAAGTTTACTACTACTACTATAGACTCTGACACTGTATCATACCTATATAGTCCTATTTGACGACTCAGTGTGTCAACTGCCATTTTGGTAAACTAATTAGCCAACGGTTCAAAGCAACTTTTTTTAACGAGCCCGGGGTGTCACTGTGTTGACCTAAAGTCATGAAGGTCAGCTGGCCAAGGTCAAGTACAAACTCGTGCAGCTAGCATTCCGTGTAACATGTTGCTACATGTCCGTGCCAAAGTACTGTTATGTCCTTCAGTTTTTCTGTGATGCCCCGCTCCGGAAGTGAGCAACAAAACATCAAAACCAAACATTTGTCCAAGGTGTATGTTTTCACCATTTGTACAAGATTCGGTTACCTTGGTAATACGAGTTTTACCCCTTTCTAATTCATATTGCTTATTTGTGGGGTAAAGACCAAAAAGAAATGATCAAACCGCGTGGCTATTTTATTTTGAATTCAATAAAAAAAATTCAGCTTCGGCTACATGTACATAATTTTTTATCAGTAAAAACACACAGGCCCTCTTCTAGGCTGCACCCTTTCTGGTCCGCGATAAACTCATTCGTTCTGCAAAGATACAGTTCGATTTTATGACAACCACCGAGTCATTTATCTCTAGGGGAGGCCTAAACATCGTGACCCTTGCGGGGGCACGTTCCTACTCAAATTTTACAGGCGCTATATACAGGTGGCAGTGTTCAAACAAACCCAGTCAAAAGGGACCATCCCTTGGTTTACGAAGCCAAGGAATGGCGTGGATATGAACTGAGACGTTTTAGAAGAATGAGGACGAGTACTTTGAAGGATTGGAACTGAATACCCGGCCGCTACCGTCTCCCAGACGACGGTAATGCGCCGAGTGTTTGCAAAGCAAAGAACATAATCAATGGCGGCGGCGCGAACTTTAGAAACTGTCTAAATATAAACTATGACCCCCGGGTTATAACGGGAACGACCTAGCCGGTGGTGAATTCTGTTTTTGAGCTTTTTGTGTTGCCCTGAACGACGTCCCGCTGTGCTTAAGTGTTCCCGTGGTAGTTTTGTGAATGGGCTAAGAGGGTACTGAGTCAGAAACTCCGCCCAATACACACGTTATATTGTCACCATGATGTGGTGTTCTCAATTTATGTACAGTTTGTTGCTAGAAGTGTTAACGTTTTGAATTAACTGTATATGTTGTGGGTTTGGGGGCTAGTAACTATGAAAAAGTAAGGCTTTTTCGAAGAAGTACTGGTATCAATATGCTCATTGGTGATCTCGAAACACAAAACGAGCAGCTTATTTCGCAAATTCGATATTTTTGTATACTGCACTATCTTCTTTTCGTATATTTTCGTTGTATTCGATTATATTGCAATATGCAGCTAAACTATCAATTCTTTGCTGTTTACACACTCGACATTTTGATTCGGTGTGAAAATTTTACCCACGTTTATTACGCTTTTTCTTGGGTAAATTTACTTCGTTTTCTTTGGTCTGGTAGCAAAATTTACAATAAGTAAAGGAACGTTTTGTTCCCCAGATATCTCTCGATCGCTGTTGCCAAACATCGAGGACATTTATTTGAGCTTATTTAGATCAAGTGGTGATTTCAGAGAACGCAACACTTCAAGCTCGGTGCTTTTCAATCATTGATGATCGCGATAATAATGAAGACAACAAAGGAAAATACTTTTACTGTGTATTGTTGGGTCTTGAAAATAGAAAGGAACCAATTTCGAGAAGTATTTGAATCAAAATCGTATCAAAACTTCGCCATTGAAAACATAACCTCGTGCACGTAGCTTGTCTTGCGTACTGTATGTTAGAGATATCGACCTCACGATGCAAAATCTCCAAGCAGATATAGGATCTTGCGTAGCTTTTACGATTTTCTGTGGCATCTAGTTTACCCATATAGAGTACGCCTTTTTAAGCAGTGCAACTTTTAAAACTCTTCTCCCTCTCCTAGCCGATTACAATATGGCAACAGACCCAAAGAACAACGCATACCCTGAGATATGTGTCATAGTTTCTCTGAAATAATGAGCTAAAGCGTTGTTATACGCAAGGTTAATAGATAGTAACACAGTTCCATCACTGAAGGAACAGTCCTCAAACACGGGAAAGTCAATTTATAGTCACGATATCACGGAACTATTTTGGAAACCGAGGACATTAAAACAGTGTTGCTACTCACCTGAGGAAGTCGGAACTTGTCCGTCTGGAAACCCGCCAAATCTGGCGCTGCCTGTGTGACACAGCGCGCGTGCGTGTGCCCAAATTATCGTCTGCAAGTGTTCTCTGTCAGGTCAGTCAGGTCCCGCTAATTTTCGCGCGCTCTGCGATACAACGTTCTACTACGCTCTAGAAACACAACTCTCCTCAGAGTTTTGTCAGAGGAAGTGCTTTTATAAATACACTAAATCTAAAACGTGACGATAAACAAATCCCCCTTTGAAATGCACGGTGTATTTCATAATAAACTTGTAATTGCAGACATCTATTTAGAGTTCAGTCCATGAATAGAAATAGGGGTGTCATGTAGATCATTTTTCTACAAATAAGGTCTAAGATATCACAATTTTTTCTACCAATAGTATGACATTAAGAACATACTAATATACAGAGAAAACGTTATTGTCTGCGTTTTAGTTTACATACTTAAATAAATAAAAAATAGACCCTAGCTATCCGGTACCATAATGGTATGTTCCTGTGTGAATAGGTTATGTAGTAACCTCGGTGATTCCATAGATGTTAGCTTGTCGTGCCATGAAGTGGTGTGTACGCTTTTCTCACTATTTACCTAACACTTGTACTGTTGCTTGGGCACATGTTTGTCAAGATCTGAACTAAAATCACCAGCGGCAAACCGCTCTTTGTGGAAACGAAGCAAAATGTGGATAGTGCATTAGTATCCAAGCTTTCTCTGAGAGATGGACGCTAGCCTATCTTTCCCGCCTTTTTGTTCTTCACCGGAACTACGTCATACCTCTGTCAACCAATGCACATCTTTGTTCTAGAAGTTTACGGACTGGAGGCTGGAACCGAGCAACGATAATGTGATAAGGGGATCTCAAGTGCAATACTATCACCCAGTCGCGGATTATTGTGATTAATTAGCAATTATAACCCTAAACGAAACTCAAAACATAAACTTATTGTCACGAAGTGCATGTTACTGAAGATAGTACTTTATAATTTTACTGCTGTGGACCTGTATCCACGTGTGCATGTTATAATAATGATTTCTATATACATGTATAACTAATAGTTTTCTGCAACCTTGGTATAATCTGGATAAGATAAGCCGTGTCTTTTTCCTAAGAGTCTGTGATCAATACTTTTGTAATCTATACTACAGAGGATCATAACAAAGCTATTAACCTTTAATAAGGCTGCATAACAACACCAAACCCAAACAACGAGGAAAACATGTATTCTCTGTCTAAGCAGAGGTTTGGATTTTGGGTTATGTTTGGCGTGTTTTTAGGCTTTTTTTTATCGGTTTTTTTTTTTTTGTAAAAAAAAAAATCCAGAGCAAAAAAAAACAACCCCGATAAAATAGCCTATAGCTAAAAACACGCCAAAAATACCAGTAACCCAAAACCCAAACATCTGCTTGGAGAGTAAGGAAAACACTCAAAGAGAGCAACTGTATTCCACAAATCACGTGGTAAATTGCACAGTAATCTTAGTATACGGAGAAAACAATTTTCAAGATGTATCCAGCTTAATACATAAATGTTTTCAGTTACATTTAGCATCTAGAGTTCATAATTAAGTGCGCATACGATTGGATACAGATCGAAGGTGCAAATACACACCTAGCGGAATTCGTAATACTGCAACCCAGGTAACCATGCTTGAAGATTGAATATAGAAAACACAAATAACCTGGCTATTCTACCAGTGCGTAAGATCTAAAGGCGACGACGACCAACTTTACAAACGATTCTAAATTTGAATAATTTATACTCTAATTCTGTATAAAGAGTCGTTTCTAAACAATATGCAATATTTGGGCTTGAAGGAAGTGACAATAATGGAGTATGCATAGAAGCAACGAAAATGAACTTCACACTAGAAAGGTAACATTTGCATATGGTCTGCTCTGTTAATTCCTACTCAAACACAATAATCATTAGCATATACGTATACGGTCAGACAGGAGTGTAAATCCCTCCTGCTATAAAATTGCAACTTGATGTAACCCAACACATATTACCATGGTAACAGACCGTCTGATTGAGGCCATTGACCTTCTTTGTTTGGAAAAGAAGAGGAAACGTAGCAAAAACAATATGTTTTCCTTCGGTACTACATAAATATATAATGAGTATACGAAATATACAGTAATGAATAACACGAGAGCTCTAGATATCTCGCGGAGGTATGTAATCGCGGAGTTCTTGTTTTACCTTTAATCTATCAAGTACCTATATTGTAGTAATTGTACATGTGCGTATGTCTTTATTTATCTTTCCTCTCACGGGAAGCTTAAGTTTACAAATGCCTTAGCTTAGCCCTCATTATATTCTCCTGTGTGGAGCATGTCTTGGTGACATTGAATGGAGTGATGACGTCAACACCTTGCGTCAGTGGAAAGAAACCATCAAGCATTCTACCAAAAAATCCTCACGCAAACACGTTTCTACGAC